GACTTGTGGCAGTTCACTCTCCTTGAAAGCGCTCACACTGTAGTGAATAAAGGTCCTGGGATGGCTCCAGTCCTGAGGCTCCCTGGCTGTGTGACCTTGGGCTTGTCACCTCCCCTCCCCCATCTCGCTGCCCACCCCACTAGTTTTCATTACTGTAAAATGAGGACTTTTGGACCAGGTGTCCCCTAGGCACTCTGGGCACAGCCGGTGCTCAGCCAGCGCAGAGGACACAGGCTGCAGCTTCCTTGTAGGGAGGGTGCAAGCAGACAAGGGGATGCTGGCTGGGGCCAAGGGGCTCCAGCTGGGCTGCTGGGTTTGGCACCCGGGCAGCAGAGTGAAAGGATGCAGAGAGCAGGCTCTGGGAGCAGACAGACCTGAATTCAAGTCCTGACTGTCATTTACCAGCCGCATGGCTTTAAATAAGCTACTTAGTAATCTCTTTGCTCAGTTTCCCTATCTTTAAATAGGTCTCACAGTGTTTACCTCCCAGGGGTGTGGGCGGGAGAGGGATTAAACAGGCTTGTAAAGCTCAGTGGTGGCATGGAAGAAGCTCTCAGCACTGGGAGCTGCTAATGGCTGGTGGCTGGGCAGGGCTGGGCAGGAGAACAGGGCTGAATCCTTCACATAAGGAGGCAGGCTAGCCCACAGTTCCTTCCTTGCTCTGTGGGGTCTTACTAAACTTACAGCAACCCCATTTTCCAACCTCAGTCTAAAAACGTGGCCCAAGAATAGGAAAGGATTTTGGAAATCAGACCTGTTCCAGAAATCTCAGGACATATGGCCACCCTACTGCAGCCCTCTTCTTGGAGTCCTGACAAGGGATGGGTTTCTTATCCCATCAAGGTGAAGGCTCAGGGCCCCCGTCCATCATTTAGGAAAGGCTTTCCCTGGAACCCACTCCCACCACAGGCAAATCGACCCATTCTGTGTTGACCCTGCTCTATGGGACCAGGGATTGGTGCGGGGATGCAATGCAGAGACTTTCTGGGCCCCCCTCTCAAGCAACCTCTCTTACCCGCTTTGGATGGCAGTTCTGCAGCTCCAAGCTTCTTCACTGGGAATACACTGTTCTCTGTCCCTTGGGGAAAGGCACAGAAGGTGGGCAGGATAGTGTTGAGAGCAGGAAAGGCCTCCTGCGGGCCAGAGTCGAGGCTGCCAGACGCTAACAAGCAGTGGGAATGAGTGAAGAGGGGCACGGGTTTGCCCAGGGGCCTCTGAGAGCTGGGGTGTGAGGGACTTGCCCTACGAGTGACTGAGTGTCCTGGGGTGCCAAGCCAGTCAGGTCACCAGGCCAGAGACCTTCTGCCGGGGGTCTGGCTTTGAGGGCTCCCCAAGAGAACCTCATTCATTTATTCAGTCATTTGTTGAGTGCCAAGCTCCATGCCTGGCGCTGGAGCTCCCAAGATGCATCGGCCATGGTCCCTGCACACAGGAGCTCACAAGGGAAAGGATGCTATCTAATCACTCACACCCTTTCCTTCCCTGCTCACTCTGGAACATAGATCAAGACCCGCTTCTGCCTCCTCCTCTACTTTAGCCCAGCCCTGCCAAAAAGCACTTCAGTATCCAGGCCTAGCAGCAGCGGCCTAGCCCCCTTCCACCCTCGTCCTTGCTGTCTCCTCTGAGACCACCCTTGGGGGATCCTACTCTGAGCGCTCTCTCCCTTTCCATTCTCCCGAGGAGGTCTCTCCAAATGGTCTACACTAATGACTGCTTCCTTTTCTCATCCTTTTCTATTCTCCATGTTCTCTTGTCTTTTCTGCTCCTTCTCTAATGTCTTCCCCTCCTCCTCCTCCACTCCCTACCCCTCTCTGGGCCCTGGGCTGCCATCCTTAGCTGGAGGCCCAGGTTTATGGGGAAGCAGAGCCAGCCGGGTTTACTCCTGTGGCAAGTGCCCTCACCCAAGCCAGTGCTGCCCCAGGCTCCCAGAATGGGCATCTTCTTCCCTTTCTTCCTCTCTCTTTCTGCTCTTTCTCAGGCATCTCCCTTTCCTCACTCCCTTCCCACCCTTCCTCTTACCTTATTCCTCCCTTTCTTCTCTAGCTGAGGGAAGGGTACCACCCAGCTCTCGGGAGAGAGCCTGGGAGAATCGATGGGCCCTCTGGCTGATTTCACGGGGCTGCCCCCCTGTCCCCCACCTGTCAGGCCACTGCCCTCTCCCTGCCCCGTGGCTCCCCTCCCTGATCACCCAGAACTCCTCTGTGCTCCTTGGGACTCATCATTACTGCTGCTTTCCCCTCCTCATCACCTTCCTTCTCCTTTGTGGAGTTTACCCAAGCCTCCGGCAGCCTCTCTTGGGGGTCCCCTGCATGCTTTCATCACAGCAGTTTGCTTTGCCGCTCCTCTAGCACCTTCTTTCTCTTCCTCTCCCCACCCCCTTCCTTCTCCTCTTCTTCCCTTTCCCCGCCTCTCACTGCCATCTCTGCCAGTAGCAGACTTCCTTTTGCCTTTCCTTTTCCCTCCCCATTTCTCTCCATTGCTGCCTCTGTAACCTGTCTCATCACCAGGGCCCAAGTATACACAAAAATAAATAAATAAAAAGGTCAGTGAGTGGAGGGAGCAGCAATAACCCCTAAAACAGTACTATCAGTGGAACATGATTGATCAATTGAATTCCATAGCGGCTGAAAAATGTGGGATTAAGTAGTGTATTATACGCACAATGAGTTGAGGCATGATGTTCATTTCAAGTTCATTTCGCCGGCCTCTGCCACCAGATCAGGCAATCAATAGGGGCAGCAGATATCATATATCACCTCTCTGCGGGCTGGGGAGAGAGCACCATAATCTCTCGCAAATTTAGAGTGACAGATTTGTCAAGATCTGAAGGGCCCCTGAATAAATGAAGGAAAAGAGACTCCTCCAGCCAGTGACCTGAGGACAAAGCTTCAGTTCAGCCCCTACACACACACACACGCACACACACACACGCACACACACACACGCACACAAGCACAGGCTTAGCCAAGCCACACACAGACATATTTACAAATCTACACAGAGGCATGCTATGAGTCTCGCCACACATACGCACACATCCATGCACATAATGTGTGAGCCGCCGCTCACAGACAGATGCCCACCCAGGACCCACTGGTGACACTGTAATAACCACACACAAAGACACTCTCACTGCCTCCCTCAGTCCTGACAGCCTGGCTCCCCAAAAAGGTAGGGGGACCCCAGCAGGAGAGAATTAGAACACAGTGAAACATGCAAAGAGCTACAAGGGGTGGAATGAGGGTAATGGCACATCCTTGAAAGAGAAGCAGGGACAGGAGGGACATGGGGGCAGGGGGCTCATGTTCCCCACGCAACCTCTCTCTCACACACACACACACACACACACCTCTTTTCAGAAAAGTTCCCACTCTGTCACTTACACATACCCAGACACTTATATGTTTATACACGTAGAAATGCATCTGTTAGGAGGATACTCACACAAGAAAAAAAAATAAATGTGCCACACCCTAACTTATATAAAGAAAGGCATACACCCTCTCCGACAGAATGTCACTGTGGAGGCTTACACAGAAGAAACACAACCACCAAGTTTTGTGCCCATAGAAACAGAGAGAACATAGAGACACCATTGCGGATGTTCCTGTGTCTGTCTGTCCTCAGACTTGATCCTGGTTTTCATTTCTCTCTCCTTCTCCCACCCCCACCATTACACACACACTTTCTTTGCTTTCCCATCCCCTCCAGAATAAAGGGGAGGGTAGACAGGAGGTTCCATTAAGAAAGCAGACCCCTGTTCTCTGTCTGAGAGGCCAGCAAGAGAGGATGGCTGCAGGTTGAGGTTAATCAATATGTAATATTTTCTATGTTCTCCCAAATGATACTGTACAGTGTTACTGTATATAATGCAGTATTGATTATATCATATTGTATAATCACCTATAAACTGATATATATAACAGTCCCAGAGGATCACCCTGGGACCTACAACATGGGCTAGGCCCAGACCCAAGGCTCCCCGGGGGGGTTGGCCAAGGCGTGGCTGGGAGGACCAAGCTTTGGTCCAGGGAAGTTGCAGGGTGGGTGTTCAGGGAGAGGTGGCCAAGTAGGCACTTGGCCCACTGTGTACCCTGAAAACTCCTGTGGGCCTGGAGCGGGAGGGCAGGGGAGCAAGGACAGCAAGAAAGCCTGGGTAGAGCAGGGTGTGGACAGAGTTGGCCAGCAGTCCCGGGGAGCAGGCACTAATGTGGCACCTCTGTGGTCTGTCCTTCATGGAGCGAGCCTCAGCTCCCTGTGGAGACCCACAGGAGGAACGAGGTGGCCAAGGAACCGGCCTCTGATAAAGCCTAGCCGGAGTCCATGTCGGGGCGGAGGCTGAGCTGGGTGGTCTGGGCGGCACAGCGTCCACAAAGACTCTGTCTTCAGTCTCTGCCCAAGTTAGTGTTTTACTGCTCACCTGCCACCTGCTGTCCTCCTGCCCTGGTCTCAGTCCTGGCACAATGCAAGCGAAATGCCTCCGCTTGGCTTCAAGTCCCTCCCCGCTCAGTGGCGGAGTTAATTACTTCACCCAGGCTCCATGTTACACTCAGCCTCGGAGATTTGATGATTTTCCACCCTTGGAGTCAGTGGAACTGATATTCATCTCAGAGCCAAGTTCAATTCTCCACAGGCTGGGTAATGCCCGCCCCAGACACCCAGCCCCTCCCCCAGGCCGACCCTGGCCAGGGTGCAGGAATTCAGAGGAGATGGCCCCTGAGGTCTCCTGTGGCTTCCACCTCTGTCTAGTCCTCTGGCCCCGACACGGGGACGACTTCCCTGTCTCTTCCCAGCTCCTTCAGGGGCTCTGGCTACCTCAGCCAGATCTCTGAGGCATGGCCAGCCCTGGGCCAGCCCCTGCCGCCTCAAAGCTGGGAGTAAGGGTCCTAGCAGGGGTGCAAAACCCTAGGGACCGAGCCAGGTGCCCCCACTTGCCCACTGCACTACCCTATGCCTCTGCTGGCCTGTGCTGATGCCCCGAGTGTCCGTGTGTCCCCCAGATGTGTCCGAGGGCTCAGTCCCCAATGGAGACTCCCAGAGTGGCGTGGACAGTTTGCGGAAGCACTTGCGAGCTGACACCTTCACCCAGCAGCAGCTGGAAGCTTTGGATCGGGTCTTTGAGCGTCCTTCCTACCCTGACGTCTTCCAGGCCTCAGAGCACATCAAATCAGAACAGGTGAGGAAGGCGCTTCCTGCGTGCAGAAGTGGAAAGGAACTGGGCAGAGCAGGCCTCTGGAGAGCATGCACAGGGACCGGCCGTGTGGATAGCCAGCATTGCGTGTGCTACGTGTGACTGCACTGTGTGCGGCCCATGTGAACAGACTCACACAGGACATTACAGTAGAGTTAAGACAAATCATTATGGTATACGGTAGTTAGAAATGGTGAATTCTGGGTGCGAGTATGGCCTTAGGTAAGTCTTACCCCTTTCAGAGCCTCAGTTTCCCCATCTATAGAATGAAGGGTGTGGGCATGTGATCTCACAGATTCTCTCCGGCCCTGCCATGCCCCGCTTCTGGCATAGAGTACTCAGGAACCTCCTTTTGCTCTGTCCCTTGCTTAAATCCCTCAGGTCCTACACAAAGTCTACGCAAGCGCACGGCAGTCATCTTGGCCAGCTGTGCTGCCCCTTGCTCCCCAATCCAGAACACACAGCATGGGACACAGCCCACAGCTCACAGCCCACCCACCCAATACACAGTGTAGAAACACATCCCCTAACTTCTCACGCTTCCCCGGGTGCACACATTTACACACCCCTGCCACCCACCATCTCCCTCGCCCCCCCAGCCCACAGTACCCCCAGCACTCCCCCCACCAGCTCAGCACCCTCCAGCCCACCCCCCCACACCTCAGTGTAGCCCGCAGTGCATATGCTCACGCACAGGAACACATCCCCATTCTTCCCACAACCACAGCACCACACACACTGCCACGCGCGCACGCACACGCCGGCACACGCGCGCACACGCACCAGGGCAGCCCCACCAGCTCCACACAGCACAGTTCCGCTCTAGGACTCCAACAGCTCGCGGCCACTCGCCTCTCTCCCCGCCTGTCCTTTTATCCCATAAGCTGTTTGTCTTCATAAAACAAAAATCAAAAGTCTTTTTAAGGTGCCCTGAGCCATAAACCAACAAAGGAGGAGCCGGCCGAGGCAGGCTGCTCGGTGCACCCTCCCTGAGTCCCCGGCTGTATTACAATGAATAACCTTTATTTACTTTCATTAGACTATTAAACACCAGCACAGTCATTTTTCCCCCTGAAACTCGGAGCAGGGCCCATAAAGCAAATCCGAAGCCTAATTGAGTTCATTTTAATTTCTCTCCGATCACAGCGAATTACTCTGGTGATAAATCAGGGGGCAGCTTCACCCCCAGTAGAAGGCCTAATTTGCAGCTAATTACAAAACTGATTTCTACAGGAAGATCAATACGAGAAGGAATTGGAAATGACGAGGCAATCCCGTCCAGCCAGGGAGGAGAGGGGGTCCTCTGGGGGGGCCAGGAAGTGGAAGGGAAAAAAACGGACCCGAAAGAGCAGAAAATCAGTTTTAATTTAACGTAATATTAATCAGAGCAACTTTTCCTGCTTTGTGCAGGCTCCTGGCCTGCCCAGCTCTGGGGTCTGGCTTGGCGGTGGCTGCAATAAAAAGGCAATTACCCGAGTGTTTCGGGCAGGACACCCTTTCAGAGTCAATGACTGGCCCCCTCCCACCCTTCTGTTAGCCATGTGGACTCTCCCCCTCCCCAATTTCATACCCCAGTGCACAGGCAGAGAGCGAGGGGCCCGTGGGGCTGTCTTTGTTTGTTTTGAAAAAGGGGGCGCCAGCACCCGATCAGCCGGCCCAGCAGTGCCAGGCTGGAGGCCCCACTAGGCCCTTCCCCCAGCTACTGCTGCTTCTGCCATCATGTCATGGTCCGCCCCTCCTCCCCGAGGCTCCCCACTCCAGGGGGACCTTAAACCGCCCCCTTGCCTGTCAGCAGGGGATCCTCACTGCTACACTCCACCCTTGGGGCTTCTTAGGCAGGAGCTGCTACAGCAACGTGAAGGGTGCTGGGATAACCGCCGATCAGGTACACGCTGCACCTCGGCTTCACAGAGTCAGGTCTGCATCCACCCACACAGGACTCTCCATCATTCTCCAGCCCGCCCCTCCCACTCTCCCCTCCCTCTGCCTGGCCGTCTCCTTCCACCCCAGCTGGGAGGGCTCCCCGGTCCTCCTCCCCATCTGCACACTGAGCCCTTTCTCCAAGCGTGTGCATCAATAGAGAGCTGTCGCTTTTCTCTCTCCTCCCAGGGGAACGAGTACTCCCTCCCAGCCCTGACCCCTGGGCTTGATGAAGTCAAGTCAAGTCTATCTGCATCCACCAACCCCGAGCTGGCCAGCAACGTGTCAGGCACGCAGACATACCCCGTTGTGACCGGTAAGAGGGCTTCCAGGAGGGTGGGAGCATGGCTTTCAGGGGCAGCACCTCAGCTCATGCCATCTGGGGCCCAGAGTGACAAGTGGGCCCCCTGCCATATCTGCAGAGAGAGCGAGTCACCAAAACCCAGGGTGCTTCCTGAATAGATGCGTGCAGATGTGCGGGTGAAAAATTGTGGTCAGGGTCCCTGTGTGCCTCAGCCTGCAAAAGGGGCTGCTGCTCGCTCCTTCTGCCCGTCCTCTTGCCCCTCTCTGCTTTTTTCTTGCTTCCACCTAGGTGTCCAGAATTATAAGCCTCCTACCAGGACTCATGCATGAGAGGGCAGAGGGTAAATAGGCCAGGCTGGCAAGAAGGGAGCATGAGCATCCAGTGACCAGCCTCTTACATCCCCAAGGTTGTTGGGGATCTGCTTTCCTCTCCCTCTGGGCAGGCTGGGTTGCTGTGGCTTAGGGCTTCAGGATGTGGCATCCAGCTCTGTGGTTATAGAAAAGCACAATTATCCCAGCATCCTCTGGCTTCCCAGGGAAATCAGAGACCAAGGCTTGGTTTCGAGGCCAGGCAGGGTCCGGCCCGTCCCACACTCAAATGCAGAGGCACATACTCCACATGCTCCTCTGCATTAGGAGCGGCAGAGGCAGCTAGAATGGAAGAAGCCTGAGGTGTGGCTCAGGGAAGGGCCCAGCCAATGGAGCTCTAGGCCTCAGAGCTGCCGTCTGTGGAAGGCGCCTGGCACTGCAGAAGGGTTTCCAGGCCAGAAAAGTGCCCAAGTGGGAGAGACACACATTGAGGTGTTATTAAAATTCACCTAATTATTCTGGAGACACTAAAGCCAATGTGCCGTTTGTTCCTTAGGAGACAGAATGATTAAGAAGGGTCTCAGTGGGGATTGGGAGACACTGAGGCGTTACCTGTCGAGCAAGGCAAGCGGAGGCAGCTTGGGGACCTGGCGGCAGGGCAGCTAGCATCCAGCATCATAGCCAGTGGCAAAGACCGGGAGCAGGCCCGGCCCCACTCGCTGGAAGACAGGGCCCTGCTTCTGCTGTGGAGCCGATCCGAGTATGGCTCAGGCTTGAGATGGGCTGCACGTGGCCACCCAGCCTCCACCTGGGGGACTGTGGGAGCCCTGTTGCCTTCCCAGGTCCTCCTTAAGGAGTATCCTGGTACCACTGTTTCTGGCCTGGACAGCATTGAGCTCTTTGGCTAGACAATGAGAGGTCAAGTTCTGGAAGTGTCAGAAAACTGTACGGTCAGGCTTTGGGGAGTGACGACAACCCTAGCTGGATCAGGACACAGCCTGTTATCAACTGACCCTTGGCATGCGCACTCCTTAGCTCAGCTTGGAAGCTCTCTGAGCTGTGCTGGATGTCCTGATTCAAGGCAGAGAGATGGCCCAGGCAAGGCCACCTTTCTCCTGATCTGCCGAGAGTTTAGTGGTCACTTCCCAAAGGGTGCCCACCCTAGGCAGCTGGTGAAAGAGAGCCCGGGAGCCTTTTCTCTAGTCCCAGCTGTGCTCCCCTGGGCCCAGGGCCACGGTCCAGAAGGCAGGGGCTTCCTAGGTAGGAGAGATGGAACTTGGGGGCAGGGCTCCTGCTGCAGAAGAACTCGGTGCTGGTGTAGAGAGGTCCCTCCACCTTGAGCCTCCCCCACCCGCCTCCCCCCCATGGCCCTGGAACAGTCCCAGCTCAGCCTGGGAACATCTCCGGCTGATCCATCTGGATCCAAGTGTGAGAAAAGTTCATTTCAGACCCAGCTTGACATTCCCAGGTGGCAAGTTAGCACTAACATCTCAATCTGTATGCGACATTTCAATCAAGCGAGGAGTAACAAAAGCAGAACCATTAACATTCGGAGCTGTTCACCAGTGGTAATGACGGGGAAACTCGCTCAGAAACTGGAAATTACCAAAAAGAGAGAAGTGTGTGGAGAGGTGGGGGAGGGGAGGTAGAGGGGGTGGAGGCCGGGAATGATTTTCTACACTTAGGCCAAGATCCAATGTTTGGATGAATGGTGCCATTACCCGAGAAAGGGCTTCTCATTCTTAAAATGTTTTTGCTGGCAATTAAACGGCTGCAGTTATTGATCTTTGTTGATTTTATGTCCTCCTAATTTGCATAATCTATTAAAGATGAATGATTCATGATGTGTTTATTATGGGGACAAACAGAATTCCCTGAAGGTACTGTCAAGGTGAGAAGCGGGGCAGTGCCCAGAGACTTCACGGGCCATCTCAGGAGTGGGTCCAGCATGTTTGGCCTTCGGGCCGGGACTTTGTGAGCAGCAGTGGGCAGTGATGCAAGGAAAGCAGGCACAAGGTTCTCTAGAAAGATGCGGGCATCTTGGAGAACCAGGCTCCAGGCGTGGCTGGGGTGTGGGAGAGACTTTCGTGTATTTGCAGAAATCCCTTTCAAAGATTCTTGAAAAGCTGATTTTGTTGGAGAATATGAAGCACTTTGGTGAAGGAAGAAAAAGCGAGGCCCTTTCGGATAGGTGATTCTGGCCAGGTGTGTGCTCAGTGTGAGACGGTGGGAGGCATCCTGTGCCCACAGCCTGGCCTAGGTGGGCCTAGGTGGGCCTAGGTGGGCCTAGGTGGGCCCAGGTGGGCCTAGGGTGGGCCCAGGTGGGCCCAGGTGTGCCCAGGTGTTCAAGGAGCCGTCTTCATCCTCCGCATCTCAGGCGCCCCGCTCGTCTTCCCTGCGGACGGGCAGCTGAGGCTGCAAACCTCCGGGAATGAGTCCTGAGGAACGCAGCCCAGAATGCCCTGGCCCAACTTGAAGAGCCGACCTTATTGATATTCCTGCCACCTCCTGGCACTGGAGGCTGATTTCAAACTTCACCAGCCACTTGATACAGCTGTTCCACAAGGTCAGGACTGAGAGGAGAGAGGAGCTTGGACTATTGTGTGGAGGAGAGAGTGGGGCCCAGTGGGCCAGGACACAGCTAATCACATTGCAAGCAAGGGTGGCTGCCAGAGGCCGCGGCTCGGCCCGATAGCCTGCCCTCCCCGCCTTCCATCATGGAACCAAGGAGAGAGACCAATTTTTCTGGGTAGTGTTTGCAAGTTCTGCCGAGATTTTAATTTCACTGCATCACAACTCAGCAAGCTGCCAAGTCAAGCTGGTTATTTAAATTTATCACCCACTTTCTCTTCTGCCGCTGGGCTGCTCTAGCTCAGCGGCATCTCTTCTCTCCAGCCCACTGCTCTAGGCTGCTGGTCTGGAACGGAGCCGAGTAGCTCCTAAGTGATAAGGAAAAAGGGACCAGCCAGACGAGAGAGTAGGTTGGGGGCACTCTGGCCCCAGGCTTCCTCGGGTTGGCTGACTGTAGCTGGTACCTTCTTATAACTTCTTATTCTTCCGAAAGACCCTCCTGGGGGCCGCCATCAACCCCTCAGTAGTCGCAGGGACCTCTGGATCTGGACCTCTTCAGTGAGGACTCTGGCTCCAGCTGTGAGCTGGTGTCTTCATCCCTTACCACTGGCAAAAAAGGAGTCCCTCTTCCCCATGGCCTTGTCACCTCGAACCCTCCCTTCCACTGCCCCACTGCCATAGATGAATATAAGGGGACACTGGCATTAATGTAGATCTGGGAAAAGAGGAGTACTGGTTTCAGGGATCCCTAAGTCTCTTGGAGATGCTTCTGACCACTTAGAGTGTCCCTTGACCTGGTGGAAGTCCTCCCTGAAGGTGGGAGCAGGTTCTCTACCCTGGAGCCCAAACTGAACGAGATGGTACTGGAGAAAGGCAGGCGTTATGCGCAGGCTGTCGCGCTCCCTCTAGAAGCTGAGGAATCCACCAGTCCCCGGAGCTGCTGCGCTGAGCAGGCTTCACTGGCCTCTAGTGGGCATCACTGCCACGCACTAAGAGAGCTCTGTGCCAGCGTAGTTCTCACCACCCTCATTTTAGTCCCCGAGAGGGGATGCAGGAATGAGACTGAGGCCAGAAACGAAGCAGGTGAAACTCACCACAACACAGCTGGGTAAAACATAGCAACAAGAATTGTTAATACACAACCAAACCTCACTCTCTGGCAATAGAAATAGAGGGAAACTCAAACACAGAGCAGTATGTGAGAGGCTGCTGGTATCCCACTGGAGGTAAATCCTAATGGGGAGAGGCCAGCGTTGTAGCACACAAGACAGGAGACACAACCCTGAGTCCAAGAGAAGCAGGAAGCTAGAATGGAGTATTACCCTGCGCAAAGCTGGGAACAGAGAAGGACAACACCATTCAATAAAGGGAAGTACACAAACCCACCCCAATGGCCCAGGGAAGCAAGTGGGGGGGAAAAAGTCTCCATGAGAAATGAAGATCCTGCTCATAACCCCGGATCAGAGTCCAAATTTATCCCATGAGTATGTGGCAGGAACTCCCAACCAAGGACTTACTTAAAAATTTGTCCAGGATAGCAGCCAACTCAGAAACCCCAGCAGGAATAAGGACAAACCTTCTCTGCAGAGATATTCCCCAATCCGGGGCACCTGGGACTCCCACAAGGAAAAAAAAACCCACCACTAAAGATGAGCTGACTATAAAAAAATTACACACCTCACATCCACACAAAGCATCATGAGGCAGAGTTTGCAAAAGCAATAAATAGGACAGTTAACAGCCCCAAGCACTGGCCATCATAGAACAATCCAAAGCAACGATAAAATAAGCATGTTTAATATTCTAAAAAAGATAAAAGAGAAGTGTAGTTTTATGATGATCACAGATCTAGATCAAGTTTGCCCTCCCCCATGACTGCTCAGCAGATCGTGAGAGAGGGAGATAATAAAGGGTAAAAAGAAGACCACACATATAGCTTTTTGTTTTGGGGTTCAGGAGCCATGGAAAGGGATGAGCCACGAGCAGCCTTAAAGCAGAGCCTGTCCCCTGCTTATCCAAGCTCCCAGACAGCTCGGTCCCAGCAGAGAATCTTCTTTATTCTGAACATTGGAGAGTCATGACAAGGGCAATGCATTTCTCCCCAGTGGGCAGGGAGGTGGGGTGGGGGGAGAG